GGACAAAATGCTTTTTGAACTTGAACAAGAGTGTTTAGATGCATATAGAAGAAAAGTGGGTCAGGCAAGCTGCTACCAAGCTCAGCTGCGGCAAGCAGTTGCCGACTCGCAAGCAGAAGTTGCAGACATTTGTGCGTCACTGAGGGAACAACCAGTTCATATAAAGCAGGTCAAAACTGAAAACAAAACATATTTTGGACTCTGTCTAAAATCTTCGTAGAATATTTGCAAGTATTTCATATGATTGATGACTAGGGCCACATTTGCTGTTTGAACAGAGTTCTGGAAGCCTGAAAGAAAGGCTTCAAGCAATTATTCCTCAACTAGAAGAGATGAAAAATAAAAAGAATGAGAGGAAGAGTCAAATTGCAGAGGTTCTGAAACAAATTTATAGCATCTCAAATGAGCTCTGCAGATCCACTGAAGAGAATCTCTACACTACGTTCATTGATGAGAGTGATTTGTCATTGAGAAGATTAGAAGAATTAAAACATCAATTACTTTTGCTGCAAAAAGAGAAGGTTATTTTCCATCTATCTTCAGTCATATGCTGCTGAGAAAATGAAGATACTGAAATGATGCTGTTTCTTTTAAGATATATGTACTGTGTGTGTAGTTTCAATTAAGCATTTTGTTTGGGAGAGATTTTTCCAAAAGTGAAAAATGATTTTTTGGGGAATGTATGGTTAAAAAGTAGGGAAAGGTTATGGGTCCCTTATATTGTTTGGCTGAAAATGATTTTGAAAATTCTCTCCTAAACAAGCCTTGAGCTTCGTATTATGTGGATGCTCTTTACTACTGTTAATAGTTTTGGCACTGACTTCTTCTCTAATCAATTTCCCATCTTCCACACAGAGTGAGCGTGTGAAGCAAGTTCTTGACCAGTTGAATGCTCTAAACTCGTTATGTATGGTTCTTGGGATGGATTTCAAATTAACAGTTCACGAGGTTCATCCAACTTTGGATGATGCATATAGCACAAAAAGTATAAGTGCAGACACAATCGAGAGGTTGTCTCTCACAATCAGTAAGCTTAAAGATGTCAAGACACAGCGCATGCAGAGGGTATTTGTATTTTTCTAATTTACGTTTCATGATAGCATTTTTGTCCTCCCTTTCTGACCCGTTTAGCATTTTCAGCTTGAAGATCTTGCAACCACCATGGTGGAGCTTTGGAGCTTGATGGATATCCCGGTTGAAGAGCAACAATCGTTCCAAAATGTGACACGAAAAATAGCTGCTTCAGAAAATGAAATAACTCAACCCAACACACTGTCTTTGGACTTTATCAATAATGTATGTTAGTGATATTATCTAAGTAGTAAATTCTTTCAATTAGGTTCCGTAGGTGCTTCCACACTGTTTATATTTTCATCAGAGGTGGAATTCTGTGGTCTATGATGGTTCATTCCTGGAAGGAAAACATATTTATTGTTTCTTCTTACAGGCTGAGGCAGAAGTTTTGAGACTACAACAAATGAAATCAATTAAAATGAAGGAAGTTCTCTTGAAAAAGAGGTTGGTTTTAGAGGAAATCTGCAAGGTTGCACACATGGTTGTTGAAGAACAATGTGCAGTAGACCTTTCTGCTGAAGCTATCAAGTCTGGTAAGGGTCTTGTTTTTCTTGTACATTAACATAAATGAATGGGTTTATTTGGATGAAAAGCAGTAGCAACCCTGTCATGTTTTGATGTTATTACCATGTGGCAGGGAAAACTAATCCAACAGATCTATTGGACCAAATGGAACTTCATATTGCTAAAGTTAAAGAGGAAGCTTTTTCTAGAAAAGAGATAATCGAAAAGGTGCAAAAATGGTTAGCTGCCTGCGAGGAGGAATGCTGGCTGGAGGATTATAACAGGGTTGGTTATAATGTTTAGTATGTGAGGTATTTTTACTTGATCCTCTCTCTTTATTTTAACATGTTTCTAATTTAGGATGGAAATCGCTATAACAGTGGGAGAGGTGCACATCTCATGCTAAAGCGTGCAGAAAAAGCTCGTGCCCTTGTCAACAAAATTCCTGGTACTTATATTCACATGTATTTAAGGTTTATTTTTAATTATCTTATGTCGAAAGTCTAAGACAGACTTGGAACAACTTCTGATCACAGAGATGGAACAATTTCCTTCTTCCATTTATTTCTTCTAAGATAGAAGTTAGTATAGAACTTGTCAAGTTTTCTTTTACTATTGGAGTATTGATGAGAAGAGTCGAAAACAATCTCTTTTTAAGCTTTTCGTTAGGGATGGCAACGGGGCGGGGTTCGGGGCAACCTCCCCTGCCCCGCCAAGCAATTCCCCGTCCCGTTACCCGTTTAAGGCAGGACGGGGCGCGGCCCTGTTTACTACCCCGTTTAATTTTATTTTCTTTTTTTAATTTTTGATAATTTATTTTTATTACCCACATTTATTAAATTTAGACAAATAATTTTAGTTGTCATTTTCTATTAGAGCTAATGAAATTTCGTGAAATTTTCCATTTAAAGTATTGAATTCTAAAAAAAAAAAAATTAAACTGGCCGGAGCTCCCATTACCCATCCCCGGCCCAGGGCAAAAATTTCCCTTCCCGAATGCCTGATTAAGCGGGGTATCCTTGCCCCGTTTGGGGCGGGGCCCGCGTGTATCAGGTTTGTCGGGTTTTTTTGCCATCCGTATTTTTGGTTATAGTTTTTTGTTTCAAAATCATTTGTCACCTTTCGTTTGGAAATAATAATGGTTTTCATTTACTAGACTTATACTGGGAATTTACCAAGAGAACAGTTGGATCCATAGCGTTGAATTTTAATCAATAAGTTGACTAAGAAGACTCCAATCCAAAAACATTGGGATTAAATGTATATTGATCTTTGATGTATAGAGGTCTTAAAGCAACATCACCCTGTTAATGAAAGTTATGCCACTCAACATAGATGAACATGGGAACGTGGGTTTGTGTGCCATGTATCGTGAGTGGAAAAAGGAAGTCTGGCTTTAGTATAATGACTAAGCAGAGTAGCAGAAGAGGATTCGCTAAGCGAACCCATATAAATTTGAACTAGACTTATGAGTTGAGTTGAGGGGTAAAAAAGAATTTTTGAGATCCATGTAACATATGTTCTTGATTATGTGTTGTATGATTTATAGGCTTTGTTAAGTTCCCACTTCCACCCTTTTACACCAACTCACATTTAATTTATTTAACTAGTTTTGGTTGGTATCAAAGCAATGCTGGAGACATTGAAATCAAATTTAACTTGTTTTGGTTGGTATCAAAGCAATGCTGGAGACATTGAAATCAAAAGCAAAAGCCTGGGAGAAAGAAAGAGGAGTCGACTTCACCTATGATGGTGTAAGCACTTATCTTGATAAAAATCGGATAAATTGATCTTGGTCTTCTCTTAGGACATATTATCATATATTTGGCTTATATTTCCATTCCTGTATAGTTTATTCTTTGATTATACTTGTATCCAGGTTGGCCTTCTATTCATGGTTGAGCAGTATTGTGCACTAAATCAGGAGAAAGAACAAGAATGCCAAAGGCAGAGGGTATTTTAACTATTTGAAATAACTTTTTAATGCTTGATTTAGGTAGGAATACAGCAAAACAATGTGACTAAACACAAGTTTCTTCCATATGATTATGTAAAATAAGGACCAGAAGAAACTTCAGGGACAGTTGATGGCAGAGAAGGAAGTGCTTTTTGGGTCGAAACAGAGTCCATCAACTAGTGGGACCAAAAATTTTAGACCTTCAACTGGAAATGTCACTAGTAAGAGATTTTCATTAGGAGGGGCAGTCCTTCAAAACTCATATCCAGTGAAAACCTCTTTCCTGTCTGGTTCTCTTCCGAAGAGTAACTCTGTGATGCATCCCAGTTTACAAAGCCATCAGCAAAGTGGACATTATGCTCGTTCTTCAGGTAAACCTTATCTCTGAAAATTTTTTCATTCTCTCTTTTGTATTCTTTGACAGTTGAATTCGATTTTGAATACATGTCAATCATGCTACATAGACATAATCCTTGACATAATGCTACATGACAATCTATTATTGGATTGTTTAAAACACGATCAATTGTTTCATCCAATCACATTTTGCCAAACACCTATTATGTCCCTGTATCTGTCACTTACGTTCTGGCAAAGTAGCATTATTCTTGTTTTAATTGTTTAAACAGGCAAGAAAAACATGTCAAAAGTGCCGGTGAAGCAGCATTCCTCTACTGAGTCATTGCTGATTCGGAAACCCCTGTCTCCTATATTATCGTCACTGTCATCCAATATTGAGTCCATGAACATTCAGGGTCAGAATAGAGAACTTGGAAAGATGCAGAGTGTTTGCAGAAGTCCGGTGAGAACTCCAACGACTAAATTTTCTGTTTTTGACGAGAACAAAACCCCAAAGGTGATGCCAATTCCGATGCCTGCAACTCCTCCAACAGAGTCGACTTCAACAAACAGATACGATGGCCGTGACACTTTGCACTAGGGATATTAAAGATGTCCAGTATTCTTACTAGGATAGAAGCTGTTTTGACTTCCTAAAATTACCATTGAAATGACTTTCACTAGTTTGATCTATTAGTGTTGCAAAAGACTCGTTTTCAGAATTTGCCGACTTCCATTTTACTCGGCCATCCTGATATGAAGCTAATGATTTTTGGCTTCGGGACTATGATTCATACTCTTGATAGGGGGCACTAATATCAGCCTTTTTTTATTAGATGAAGGGGAAAAGTCAAAAATTTTCAAATAGAAATTTTATTAAAAGCAATATTAATTTCATGAACGGCCACTTGCTGCTCCTGGGTAAAATTTAAGAAAATGTAGACATCAAAGCTGCAGAGACAAATGGTGCAAACATTAAGAGAAATAATTGGAGCAAATGGAGAGACAAATGGTACAAACATTAAGAGAAATAATTGACAAAATCAAGTAATCATAGCTACTAATTAGTTATTCCAATATGTGACAAGATCACAGGCTGATGCAATCTATAGATTGAAAAGAAGTACTAGTTCTTGAAAAGTTCCAAACAGTGTTCTTGATCCAAATTCCGGCTCCAGAACTTTTTGTAATACTCTGCATATGTGAAACTTCTATAAATGGTTGGAGATCCATCGCTCATAAGTGGCTTTGGAGCACTTATTACTGCACTATCACATGGGCAGAGGAAGGAAGCCACTGACATTCTTGGTTTATCAGCATTCACCACAGCTCGATGCCAAACACTTTTGTACTTTCCATTACTCAGCGCCTAGAGAAAATTATTGTTGATCGTGATCCACATCCAAAAGTAAGCAAGTTTCTTATAGTTGGATAAATAATCCATTTTTCACAATGTAGACAATCTGTAAACTCACTTCATGCCACTGAATTCCATTTTTATACTTTAAAGGGGTACATTATCATGTTGTGCTGAAAGTCAGAACTTAGAAGTTTGCTGACGGTAGATTACATGGTATGACTACTTAAGTGCCCTGAAAATTGAGTACACCCAAGTGCCTTAGATTCAGAAAAAAGAGTTGTTCGGAGTACTAGTTATATCATTGGATATTTAAGCTTCTGTATAAAGAGTTGCCTTTCATGAGCACTTCCCAAGGCTGAGGGTATTCTATTTGAAACCTACTGGCCTATTAAACAAAGATGAGTTGATATGGTGACCATATCAACTCATCTTTGTTTAATAGGCCAGTAGAAATGTATCAACAGCTCGAGAATTGACATTGGCATTTCATGTCAATGGTCTATTGAGTACGCGTTTGGCCGAGCTTATGAAGCGTAATTATAACTTTTTATTAATCAAAATTGAAAATAAGTTACTTCTTTCATTAGTAAAGGTAGAGGTATTATTAAAATAAGTTTTTTTTAGTCAAAAGAAACTTAGCGGAGCAAGTTTGAAACATTTTAAAGCTTGACCAAACATGCTCTAAGTTTATAACTTAGATGTTCTGTATCTTTTGCCATTCTAACAAAAGATTGTATAGCTTAATTTCCAGGGATGTGGCGTACCTGGAGTTGATCGCCAACGTTGATGACAAAAGCATCCGGGTGGGGTTTTACTGCTAACCATTTACCATCCTTAAGAACCTGAAGGCCTGCTACTTGCGAATCTTGAAGTAGAATTGTGAGGGCATTTGGATCTGTATGTGCCGGTAATCCATAAGTCAATTCTGGTTCGGGGCAAGCTGGATAAAAGTTAACTGCCATATGTTGCCCTTGTTCTCCTAATACATTCTTTAGGTTGTCTATATTTAATCCTAGGCTCTCAGATATGGCTTCCTGCAATCTGAATCCGAGTTGTCGAACTTCCCTGCAGTAATTGCTTACGATATCCCTACAAATGAAAGGACCTATGCATTCATATTGTTTTTCTTTCCAATTAAAATATGAATTTTCGCATACATTAAAAACTAATGGTGTTTAATAACTAAAATAAATTAAAGTTCAGCTAATGATCTTTAATTTGTGATATGGAGAACAGTAAACTTATGTTATTAGAATCTAATATCACTTAAAAAAGTCTAGTCTTAACCTCAAAATTATCCCGCAATGCCCAAAAGCAGTGAACGGTTTGAAAATTTTTCCATTATTAATCATTATAATTGCTAATGTTGTTGCAGCTCTATCTGGCAAAAAGTTCAAAAGAACTTAGTATTCAACTAGCTTTATGTAGCCATTTTTCAAGGTCTACATGTTTTTATTCTTAAAACACAACTTCCTAAGTGAATAAGCCCCTGCTTCACTCCCATTATTGGCGAAAAAGGTATTTTGGAATAGTGATTTTTTGGAAAATGCGTGGTTAAAAAATAAGGAAAGATTTCTGGTTTACGTGAAATTATTTTATGGGAGAATGTGTGCTTGAAAATGAGTTCTTAAAAATATGGAGCCCAAACACGGGCTAAATAAACATTCTAATGAAATTCCATCAATAATGCTTTTTGTCATCTGTTAATTTCCAATAACTGATTTCATCATCTCCTTTTTATTTTCTTTGTGGAACTAGTGTTACAATAACGAATTCTTATGTTGAGAATTAGAAACACTAATTTAATTCCATAGAGAGCAATCAATTTACAAAAAAAAATAAAAACACACAAGATTTATTTAAGTTCACATTAATGTGAGACTACGTCATCTTCCTTAAGACTTAAAAAGTCATCTTCCTTAAGACTTAAAAGAGGTTCGTCATAATAGTTATGCTCCACAACTTAACATCGCAAGCCTCGAGAAAGCATACAGATTTAAAATCAATCTTTCCATTTATATCAAAAAATTTGAAACATATCTCTCTTCAGCTTGTTCCATTAGTTAGATTATTAGTTTCGATCCAAGACACTACAAATTCTTCTATATCTAGTTGCAAGGTATTCCATAAAAATTTCATAATAACAGAAAGACATCCTTCAATATTTCCTTTTCATTTTTCAGTAGTAACAAGTGTCCTATATAGATCATGGAATAACTGGATTAATTTTCTACTACTTCACAATTATTATCATGCAAAAGCCAAGGTAATAAACTCATATGACAATGACTAGAAAGAAATATTAAGTTCAAAATAGAAGATTGAGGCTACATAAACATTATGGACAATTGGAACGAACCAGAAAATAAGTGATGTGAGAAAGCTGTAGCCTTACTTGAAAGAAGGGGGAACAGAAGGCCACTCAGGCACATATTTCTCCAATGGATAACAATGAAGCCTGAGATAATCTCTCCAATTGTGAACAGTCTCCTTCCTAACGTTAAAACTTGTGGATAACCTCATAGTTTTTGATGGGTCGTCGGAGTACAACTTCATTTTCTCTTCCACTGGTAAACTAAAGAAATCATAAGCGACCGCTAACATTTTCTCCATTGACTCCTTTGATATTCCATGATTGATCACCTGATACACAGTCATGAAGTCCAATAATTAAAGATAATGAAAGTTGTAATATATGTATATGTCATGCTCTTAGTGCCAGTCCATGAGCTGGTGGCCAAAAAGATGATCGAGCATAGATATATAACCTGGAAGAAGCCATACTCCTGACAAGCATCGCCAATTTGTTTAATTATTAGACTTCTATCTCCATAACCCAAGTCAATTACAGGAACATTCTCGCAGTCAGCAACTTCAGATAGTTTTGGTCTTTCAGATTCTGGACGGATATAACTACTGGGAAGGCTTGAGTACCGGATTCCGCTGGAGATAACTTTCGCTTCCATGGAACCCGGTCCCAAACTTACTAAAGAAAGAGGAAATAGCCGTCAGTGGTGCAACTTTGATATGAGGCTATGTCAGCTTCAAGGAAAACGCTGAGTAGATAAACGTCTGCTACTCAGATTCAACATCTGATTGACTAATAGAACTTTCAGAAATGCCATTGTGAGTTCTCACAATAATGGGTGCCTGAAAATTTTAACCATATCAGTTTTTCTATGCAGACAACAAAGAAAAGAGTGGAAGTCAGAGAGTATGGATACTAAAGATTGGAATTTGTTATTCTATTTTATTAGTAAGGCAAATAAAACCAAAACAAAAAATTAAGCTTTAGCCCCCAATAAATTTAAGGTCGATTGTATTAATGTTTTTCATCCAATCAGCACTGGTCTTTTACAGCCACCAATCTATGTCTCTCTATGCTAACTTGTTTTATTGGGATATTGTTTGTGAATTGGAAGGTTTTCACAAGACAAGCTCCAACCATTTTTTTGGGTTTTATCATCATTTCTCAACAGAAGTAGAGAAAAAACACATTTTTATACAAAGCAAAACATATGCACATGAAATGTTTACTCCATGACAAAAATCAGCATAGAAATCTTAAAAAGCAGCAACATTGCATTATATTTCTCAAACTATAAGAATACCATAGGACTCATAGGAGAGAAACTTGCCGAACTAACCACTACTCCACACTGACAATCATTGTGACAACTGGTATCTTACTAGGAGTTTGATGTCAATAGAAATACTAGTTACAGAACGTTTACCTTTTTTTTGGACCAGCACATGCTTGGCTGAACCTGTTTTTTAAACTAACATAAACGGAGCATATTTTATCCAATATTTATGTTCAATGAATACACAGCATGTGTGCCGGAACATATCAAATGTCACGTATAGCATACACCTTCATGATAAAGATAACTTGGGTTACCAAAATAAAATTTAAAATCACAAAAGTAAGATGTATTCTCAACTTGTTAAGTGAGCTTTTTGATTGATTAAAGTCAATTTTGTTACCCTTTAACAATAAAAACAAACTACGCCATCCATCTTTTAGTGTAACAAAAAGCTTTACTTCTTTCTCATTTAACATAGACACAACTTCCTGCAAATTCATTAACCATAAATTGTTCCTCAATCAAAGCTCAATTCAAATTCAAATTCAAATCATCTAATCAAGACAAAACTAAAGCATTTTACAGCAATTCAAAAGCTAGCAAGCACCCACAAAGAATTAGTTAATGTTTGTGTGTGAACAGAGGTACGAGGTATAAAGAGAGAGGGAGAAAGAGGAACCTAGGGCACTAATCTTCTTCCATCAAGCACTTCATCCAAAATTAGCTCATCCTTCAGTCAAATACGTCACAGAAAGTAACCAAATTCTCTAGTTAACCCCATACTAGAAGAAAACACAATCAATTCAAATATATATACCTCATACAACGGTGACTTACCCATGCTTACGTCAACGCGTAGATTTCTCGCTGAGGTCAGCCCCACCAACCCTGTACATATCCCCTGTTTGAGTAGCATTAGCGATTGAGTATTGCTTGGGTTATAGAAGTGGGGCTTCACAGAAGCCCCCACAAATCACACACAAAGGGGGCGGGAAAAATTTGAACCAACTTTTCATTAAGCGGTCCCGCATCAGGACCCGGTAAGAGGTATGTGAACTGATCATCTGTACATTTGGCTTAATCCCATTCCGGCCTGTTTGATTTATCAATATTTTCCATGGAAAATGAAAAATAAATTCCATCTTCCACAAATATGCACAATATTTTTTTGGCATTTGATTTTCTCACACGATGGGTTTCTTGGTAATTGAGGAAAGCCATTTCCCGGAGGTTTTATTTATTTTATTTTATTTTTATTTTTTTTTGTAATGGAAACAAATTCCATGAACAATTGTGAAATTTTTTTCCCTTTAATGGACAATTTTCATGAAAAATAAAGCCAAACGAATATCAAAAGATCCAAATTTTCAACATTTTACAGGTGAAAAATTATACAAATCAAATACAATTAATTGACAATTCTCAGCAAAATAAAGCAATTCAATTTCCTGAAATTCATTTTCTTTCCACCCAAATTTCACTCTTACAATCAAACGGACCCTTAGTGATTGTCAATGGAGGTGAGATCAGTGGCTGACGCCACCCTCATGTAATCAGCGCAAATTACAATCAAATTGTTTCTTGAATCATCGAAACAGGTTGGTGGCACATGGATTGATGCTGAGCACGCTAATTTAGTAATTTTTTTTGAATTATGCTACACTTAGATAATCACACGTGTGAACACCGTTATGTAGTCACACTGTCACACGTGTGAACATTATCATGTACAATGTATTATTACTGTTATCTCGCATGAATGTGGACATCATTATGTACAATAAATTATGTACGTGTAGTATAACCCTTTTTTCTCCTTTTTTTTGTTCTATTTCCGTTGTTTTCTTGTAAAGAAGCAAACAATTGAATAGATTGTGTCGAAAGTGCGCAGTACCAAGGGCTTTGCAAAGTATCAATCTTGATTTACAAATAGCAAAACTCGTAGTACCAAACAAAGATTAACGTGGTGTGATTTGACTCACTTATTTAAGGTGCGGTTCATATACAATAAACTCTCCATTTTATAAAGATAAATTTACATTTCCTTTTTATCAATCCCAAATTATGTCACTTTCATTGTTGAGAGTATATAAGATTTTTTAATTTTCTAATATGCTCATAATCATTGTATTTTTTATCAATAAATATGAGCTACTTTTATTTAAATTATTATTTAATGGAAGAGTATATTAGAAAAATTGTAAGGGTGCATTTGATTGCAAACATAAAATTTGCATAAAAAAAAGAAATTATTAATCAAAATGTATTTAATTGGTTTAATTTTCAATGCACAAATTATTATAATTGTCCGCTTTTATTGGTGAGTAGATGAGAGTGAATGTGTGTGTGTGAATGTTTGAAAAATAAAAACATACCCCTCCCTAAAGAAAATGTTTTCATTTTTTATGGAAATATTGTCACATGACCAATTTTTGTAAAATATTTTTCATGTCAAAAAATATCAATCAAATACTTCAAAAGTGGAAACTTGGGTGTCAAAAAGATATTTTCATGAAAAATAAAGCCACAACTACATTAATATTGTCATACTACTATTATTCAATATTTATTTAAACTCTAGATGAACAATATTATTCAACTTTGTATCTCCTAGTCCTAGTTAAATTTTTGAATGTGGCATGTTGTATTTTCTCAACAAAATGTGAAGACGGTAAAGCCTATAGTATTGAGGTATTAAAAAATATGTTGATGTCTTCTCAATTATATAGAATATGCGAATATGAGGATGTAAAAAATGTATTTGAGAGAAAATAATTTGGACTCATTCACGGGTATGTCAAGTTGCCCAAGACTCATGAACCTGAAATTGTCTTGGAGACATTATAAAATAAACTTGAACAATGCTCTTGAGAAGTCTTCGAATTGCACTTATGCCTCTCCCAATTCGTGGAGATTTATAGGACTCACTAATAGGGGTGAATTCCTCCACAAATTTCCAATCATTTATTCTCAACTTTCTATTTGTTACACCTATGCCCGAACTTCTTAACATTGTGCAGGCACGAGGGCAGATCCAAGGTTGATCAACCGGAGGGCTTGCAATATTTTTTAAAGATAACTTTGACAGTACAAAAATGAAATGCAAAGACAAAAATGAGAGCAAAGTGATCGTTACCCTTAAATTTGCATATTTGACTAAAGTACCAAAAATATGCAATACAAATACTTTAAAATACTATTTAAGACGCAACTTTACATTTCCTAGAAAGAACAAGCTTGTAAGTGATGAACTCTATGACAGTCCAAGAATTACAACATACAAATTCAATTAAGAATATCAAATTCTCAAAATTACATGTACAACTTGTAATGAGTCCAAAATTTGTCATAATTTAAAATTCAATTATTCAAATCAGAAGAGACTCAAGTAATGTCAAATAAATTTTATCTAAATTAAAATCGGAGTTAACAGGAAAGAAGTAAAATCATTAAACTCAATTTAAGTAGCCATCTTTGAATAGCAATTTTAAGTTTGCTGTTCAATGGATTTAATATTGAAATATGCGTCACATAATTTTTGAAACGATTCCAAAAACCTATTCTGGCGATCAATAAATAGAGGTGAGGTCCTCAAATTAGATTTATTAAACACATTTTGTACAATCATTTTTAACTTAATATTGCGACCTCATATTTAGAAATTTCTCAAATTGAAATGTGTGTTGAAAAGTAGCCATGAGTGGTTCAGAAAGTAATCAAGAACCATTTAATAACGTTCGAGAATTATATGTCAAAAACGACCATCAAACTGGCTCAGCGAAACGACCCATTGCAAAATTTTCTTTGTTTTTTCTATGGGAGTTTTGTTGTGCTTGGACTCACCCCTGCATCTATTGAAGTTGCCAGATATACATCAGCTCGATCAGCTAGTTAGAAAATGATTCCATTTTTTCTGTATTTATAGAACCTTCATTGTACATTTTATACACGATTGAATGAATACATTTTTAGCCTTATCTTAATTCTTCAATATCATAATTTTGTCATTCCAAATCTGATATGATATCAGAGATTGAAATGGATGAATCAAATACTCCCACGGATGCAAACATTAATCCAAATTGTACTCAAAATCCTCAACAAATTGATGAAAGGAATTCAAGTATTGTTCCTCATGTTCCCACTCATCCCAGCAGTCCCTACCACATTGGCAGCAATGATGGAGGAACACTTATGCTGGTTACTCATGTTCTGGACTCCAACAATTATTACTCCTGGACTCGTTCTATAAGGAGAGCATTAAAAATAAAAAAAAAAATAAAAACTAGGATTTATTGATGGAACTCTATGTGAACCAAAGGATCCCAATGATCCATTGATAGAACATTGGCTTAGGTGCAATAATATAGTCATAACGTGGATGCATAATACCATAGCAATTGACATGAGTAGCACGATATATGCAGAGACGGCTCATCTCATTTGGCTCAATCTAGAGCAGCAGTTTTCTCAACAAAATGTTCCACGCATATTTGAAATTAAAAAGGATATCACCACCTTGATGCATAAAGAAGATTATGTGAGCACTTACTACTCCAAGCTCAAAATTCTTTTAGATGAGCTATTGAATTATGAAAGTATTCCTAGCTATACTTGTGGAGGTTTGAAAACAGTGATTCAAAACCAGCAAAGGGACTTGATCATGAAATTTCTAATGGGGCTGAATGAGAATTACAAGGAGATTAAGGCTCAAATTCTGCTGATTAAGCCACTTCCTAGCCTGAATGAGATGTACTCTTTGATCCAACAAGAAGAGAAGAGACGGGAAATATCTAGTCCAAATCCTGTTAACTCGGATCATATGGCTTTTCTTAGCAAGAAACTTCAGAGAGGGAAGAAACCAGATCTTCTCATCACGGAAAAGAGACAAATATTATTGCACTCACTGCAAGATTGCAAGTCACTCCCTTGATAGATACTTCAAGGTAATTCCAAACAGACCACTGTGCTCTTATTGCCAAATGTCAGGACATTCAGTGGATAAATGCTACAAGTTTCATGGATTTCCACCAGGGCACAAGTTCAGTGACGAAGGGAAATCTGTTGTCTACATGGTTTCTGCAAGTTCAACACCTAATCAGGAAGTAGTGAAGGACAAAGATCAAGTATCATTGAGTCAGGAGTAGTACTAGCAGCTGATGGCACTCCTCAGACCAACAACAATCTCACAACAGCTAGCTTCTTCACCCAAAAATACTCAAACACTTGTTAAATCTTTCCCATCAGATGAGTTCAATCATAAATTATCTGGTATACCACTAAGTTTGACTACATTTCATCACAATCATGGAAACCTTTTCGAAACACCATGGATTCTAGACACTGGAGCAACAGATCACATGATTTGTTCTATCTCCATTTTTAAATCTATTCAAGCTAAAGTAGCTTATTCTGTAGCTTTGTCAAATGGTGAAAATGTTCCAGTCAAACATGTGGAAACTGTCAAAATATCTGAATTCATAATTTTGCATTCCTAACTTCACCTTTAATTTGATTTCAGAAAGAAACTAGCTCAATCTCTAAATTGTTGCCTTATTTTCTTTTCTAATTACTGTTATATCTAAGACCTTTTGACGTAGAGAACAATTGGAATGGGTGAGGTGAAAGATAGATTGTATCACATGGTGAGGAAATCACTTTCTTCTTCAGCTTTGTCAGAAGTCCTCAACCAGTTCAAATGCATGTCCTCTTCCTCTACGTCTATTACTAAAAATCATAAAGAATATGTCTGTGTCACTAAAGATTAGGCCATTCTTCATATTCTAACTTCAGCTTTGATGGAAATATTTACATTCATGCATCATCTAGTATCAATCAATGTTCAATATGTCCATTAGCAAAACAAGATAAACTACCATTTGGTATTGGTCATCACACGACAGGAGAATGTTTTGA